TGACTCCCAGTCCTGAGAAGCACTGAAGTAATTATAGAGTCAACGCCGGGGGGGGAGTGCTCAAAGTGATAATTTTGCTGGTACGCTCGGCCGAACTCTCCTTTCCTTGTGCGCAAGCACCAGCATGAGCCTGTCACCCAGCTGGTGGTGATATTAGATACGGTGGCTGCTTGCGGGGCGTGAAAACTTACTTCCAAGGCGTGCCACACGCCCATGTAGTTGTGAGTTTGTGCAGGCTCGCCTCAGCCAGATAAACGGGGACCGATGTGGTCTCATTTTAGCCTAAGATCTCTAGAGCATACTCTATCATAGGGGAATATGGGTAGAAAAAGTAAAGGAAATTTTTTTGGACAAAGATTTTACCCTACATCTAACGATGGCTCTAGCGATCATCTTCATTAAAATGACTACTAAAATGACGATACTTATTTCCTAGCCCACCCGGAAGGGCCGTATGCCGTGACCTTGACGAATAGTTTTATTACCATAGTATGTCTACTTTTACGATTTGGGTAGATATGGTATAATAGGGTTACGTTCAACCTTACTTAATAAAATACTTAAAGGATACGATACGATTGAGATTAGGTTAAGGTGAGGATTAAGGTTAACTTTAGGATTCAGTATGATTGCCACATAGCGTATTAAGCAATCCAGCTTTTCCCAGTAGTCTTGGATTCGCACTTGAAAGTCAAGCACATTTATTCTACAAATGCAGGTATTCCCAATGCTTTCCGCAAACTCCGTTAATTGCTTCGCTCCTCTGCCATGCTGATAACAACTAGCATTGGCATCCTTCCCGTTTGATAGCGGTCCTTAGACTCTATTTTCTCCGTGAACCTTAATACAATCGAACATACATATTAGTACCTTGCTGAGATAATTTGGTCCGTCAAATCCAGCTTTTTTTATTTAATTGCTTTTAATTAACGAAATGATTGGGTTTAACAGGAGAGGTTTGCGACATGAAAGTACCGCTCATGCCGCAAGAAGCTCACCTCCTCTCTCCTTTTACCCAAGTATTGAAAAGGTTAT